ATATACATAAAAATAAACAGATACAAGGACATACATACAAAATATCAAATTGAAATACACATAAAAATATATATAAATACATCAACATACACATATAAAAAATTGTGAGAAAAAAAGAACGATTGTCACAAAATCATCATTGATTTTTTACATTTTTTTTACAAAAAATTTATTTTGATTAAGAAAAAGGAGCAATATTGCGGTATTAACATAATTATTAATATTACAAATTTGTGAGAAAAAGATAAACAATTATCACAATATCATTATTGATTTGATTATGCCAAGTCATTTTTAATTAAAAAGGGTAATTTTGATTTTTTAAATCTTTCCGTACGACACTTATACTGTGATAGTTTGTTAGCTTGTCTTAGTTTTTTATTAGTTGCTTCAGAACGGATTTTGGGAAGAATATTATCCATATTTCCACGGACTGTCCCCCCCAAACCTCCAGACAAGATGTATACGGCGGTCACAGAGTCTCTCCAGAGAAAACTGCTCAAGGGTGGCAGTATAAGAGAAGTACAGCCGCCCCAGAACAATTCTTAAAACTCTTTTCTGGACAGCCTCCAGATCACAACTTAGTCCGGAAGTAAGGGAGGAGTGCCACATTGGACATGCGTATTCGATGATAGGACGTATAAATTATTTATAAATCTTAATTATTTGAGATTCAGGTGCTCCAAATTTTTAAAAAATTGACACCATATGTAAGGTTGTATTCACCTTACTAACAGTTTCATTGATATGGATATCCCATTTTAAGTTTTCCTGAATTGTTACACTTAGAAGTTTCATTTGCCTAACTGATTCCACTGGGACTCGGTTATTATCAAGCTCATCGACCAGGGGGTCTTACAGAGACCGGGGTCTTACAGAAATTAATATTCATTGATTTACACTTCTTTGGGTTACGGCACATTTTATTAATTTGGCACCATTCATCTAAGTTACTGAAATAAGTTTGGATATTGTCCATATTATTATCTTCGAAATTTCAGTGAGAGTAAATTCGCCTACAAATTTTCACCTGGTAGGACAATCAAGTGCCGAGTCATTGATTATCACTTGGAAGAGGCTAGGACCAGATTTTTCATACCTTCAGACCCTTCACTTGGAGCTGGTGAAAGTAAAGCATTTGCTGCATCTCTTTCTTCTGATAAAGCTTGTTCATGAGCGTCAGATAACTTCCAGATCAAATCACTATTTTCTATGCTATTCTCCATGTAAATACTATATGAAAAAAAAACAATATGCATAAAGAAAAAAAAAACAACGTGCATTAAGACACAATCTTCACCATTACACTGCGAGCTGCAGCCACTTAATAAAATTTTAATTGACTTACTCGCCCATCAGACGACGTAGTGGAATGTAGGCTGCGTATGCAAGCTCGGGCGTGAATGATTCATGTAACTGCAACTGAATCTCATCGTTCCCGTCCTTCTCGTCCAACATTTCCAACGTTTCTAATGGCATAGCTGAGAGTACAAAACAAAATTTATTCGACT